CCCCAAAACCCCAAAACCCCAAAACCCCAGGTTTATTTATAAACTTTGAATTACGGGAATATAAATATGAATGACTCTGGCTTCAAACAAAATGAGTTTTTGGATAAATGGCTACTTGGCTCGAAAGACAATCTCACTGAGGTGGATGGTAACTCCCTAGTAGTCGCTCATTGGTGATATAGACAACCTGAGTGAAGTTAAAAGTTTACGAGAGGACATCCAGACTCCTAGTAACAACGAAAACACCTTGTAAATTTATTTTAGGTAAATATTCTAGAGTTTGTCGGTTCCATAGTAGTCTTGTTCCTAGAGCTGATACTAACCAGACCGAATTTTCGAGGAAATAAGTATATTGAGATTGACATGAGTGCTCTTGGTAAGCCAGATACATCTGATTCAGGGAAATCAGCTATAGATTTATCAAAACCTTCCCTTCATAACCTTAAAGCAGAACAAAAGAATATGAATAAAGGTAGCTTAGTGAAATTTTATACATAGATCTTGAATCTAATTCTAATGTTTCAACACCTTCTCCAGAAAGATGAGATATTTTTGAAGATGATGAGAAAGGTCAGACATCTAGAAGTATACATTCATGTAGCAAATATAGAGTTCCAGATGCCAAGATGCCACAATATTGAAGTTGAGGCTCCACCAAAAGTATTCAGGAAGGTAGTGAAATTATTCTTCAACTTTGTTTAGGCACTGCAGAACAGAGTCTTCACTAAGCAAAGGATTCCTAAGCCAAAGATTAACCAAGACTGAAGTCCAGCCCAGAAGAATGTTGTAGTTGCTAGAAAAATTTGTGAAAAGCTTAACAAAGCAATTCGGGACAGAGTAATTTTAGAAATTATTTGCGTTTTAGAAGGGAGATTCTAACATAAAAAATCTCCTTAGTTCTATAGAATCATATAAAAACTCTTACATGAGCAATGTGGTTGATCGGGCTATGGCAGCTATCAAGAGAGAGTCATCAGCTAAACTACCATCTCAAGTTGGCAAGCAGGTACAGTCTAGAAATCTTTTGAGATCAAAGAATCCTTCTGTTGATTTCATGCAAAAGCAGAATTTATCAATTTCGCCCATGAAGAGATCTGATAGAAATAGACTTCTTTCGGTACAATTTATGCTTATTCATAGTCACTTCAAATATTTGAAAATGCCAACCCTCCAAGTGTACTACAGCCGAGTAAAACTCTGGGTGAAGACTATGCTATTGAAAGGCTCCAAAAAGTTTCTAAGAGCCCTTACAAAGTGTATAAAAGGTATCCTAAGTCGGGATATGACCTAAATAGTGCCTATTCTGCATATATTAAGGGGAAAAAGAACGTTCACAAAAGAGTTTTATCTCATAGTAATTCTACCAAGAATGTAGCTCCAAAGGTAAGCTTATAGAACATTAGGGATCATTGGGATAAATTGATTAAGCTACAAGTTAAAGCCTTCAAAAATTTCTATTAAAATGTTAGCTTTAATACTGCTAAAACTCAAATTCTAGGAGGAACTATGTATCGGTAAGAAGCAGGAAGCTCCAGTCAAGAAATAAAGAGAAAGTATTGTTAAAAAGAAAGCGCTTTAGGTATAGTTTCCTTAACTCTTTAGTCAAAATCGGATCAGATTGCCATTAAAAAGCGAAATGCGGATCCAGATTACAAAGAATTCCCCTGTTAACGTGTATGAGAACAGGAGCAATATTAATAAAAGCAGAGTGTCCAATTCTGATAGTAAATTCTCCCTAATGTTTAGGCTTAACGACTATTGATAATAAGTTTACCAACCAAGAGATTACAGAAACTCTAAGACAGAGAAAGAGCTCCTTAGGAAAGGCTAGCTCTGTACTCACTAGAAGGGCTTATTGTGTTAGTAACCTTCCTTTTATTCAGAATACCTCTATTGGGAAACCTGATGAAAGTGTTGATAAACCTCAAGATGCCTCAGGCAAGTTGAAGAATAATTTTATGCCCTTGAGACCCAAGAAAGCATACTTGCATAATAAATCAGCAGCTGGACAAATGAGTCAAAGAGTTATAGCCACAGGGACTTATTTTAAGAGGGAAACCAAGTGAAGTCCTTCTCATTATCGAATTGCCTTTGACTCAGATGCTGGAAAGAAGAAGCTAAATTCTGATCTGAACCAAATCCGAAAGTATGGCATCCACATTTACTCATAGAACTGAATTTCACAACATGGAGTTTAAAAACATTGCTGTTACTAAGAAATCTGTTTGTATTATGTATAATATTTAGAAAGAGGCCATCTCGATCACAAGCAAGTTGTTCAGCACTGTATTTAATAAGTCACGAAAGCACACTGTGAAAAATCTACGTAAGAAGAAATATGTTGAATTATAAATTCAATTTTAAAGGAAAATGTTGGGGTTTTGGGGTTTTGGGGTTTTGGGGTTTTGGGG